ACTACGAAGACCGCACGCACAGCTACAAGAGCCACCCGACGAGCTTCAAGAGCCACCTGCGGAGCTACGACAGCCACCAGCAGAGCCACGAGAGGCACATGCTTAACTACGAGGACCGCGAGCCGAGCTACGAGAAGCAGGGCTACGAGGGCCACCTGGAAAGCCACTTGGGCCACTACCCGAGTTTCGAGGGCAACGAGCAGAGCGACTACCGCCACCAGCAGTGCTACCAGGGCCACCGGCGGCCTCTCGACGACCACGAGCTACGAGGACCACAGGAACAGCCACGGGAGCAACCAGAAGCGCTTCAAGTCCCACCTTCCGGGCTACGAGAGCCACCATCAGAGCCACTGGAGCTACAAGCTGAGCAGCGAGGATCGCAAGCTGAGCTACGAAAGTCCCAAGCAGGACCACGAGGACTCACAGCCCAACCACGAGTTCCATCTGCTGCGCTACGAGCGCAACCACCTGAGCCACGCAGACCACAAGCTGAGCTACCGTAGGCACCAGCTGTGCTACGAGGCCAACACACAGAGCTACCACGGCCAACGCCAGAGCTACCAGGCCAGGGCCACCAACGGACCTTCTAGATCCCCGAGCTCGGCAACGAGGACCGCAGGCACAGCTACTACTACTACTACTACTACTACTACTACTACTACTACTACTACTACTACAGCCACCTGACGAGCTACCAGAGCCCCAGCAGCCCTTCGAGGACCACAAGCTGAGCTACAGGGCCCAAAGGCAACATTCACGAGAGCCACCAGCAGAGCCACCAGGACTGCCAGCTGAGCTACAAGGGCCACAAGTACAGCTACGAGACCGACGAGGGCCACCTACTGAGCTACGGGTACAGAAAAAAGAGCTACGCGAACTACGGGAAGACCTAACAGAGCCTCCTGCGAAACGACTAGGGCGACGAGCTGAAATGCAAGAACCAGAAGGCCCACCAGCTGAATCATGAGGGCCACAGCCAGAGCTACGAGGGCCAAATCTTGAGCTACGCGGACGACAAGCAGAACTACACGAGCCTCCCGCAGAGATACCTGGGCGACGAGCTGAACTGCAAGGGCCACGAGCAAACGTCCGGGGGTCACCATCACATCAACGAGGACCACCTGCTGAGCTACCTGGCAAACAAGCTGTGCAACGACCGCCGCGAGCAGAGCCGACGGCGCAGCTACGAGGACCACCTGAGAAGCGACGAAGACCACCACCCGAGCTACGAGAACCGCCAGCCGGACTACAAGAACAAGCCGAAGCGCCTGAACACGCAAGGCGCAGGACCACAAGCTGAGCTACGAGGCTCAGAGGCAGCGCTAGGTACGCGGACTGCGAGCTGAGGTACGAGGACCACAGGCACAGCTACGAGAGCCACCAGAGACAGCTCAGCTACAAGGGCCACCTGCTTAGCTACGTGGGCCACAACTTGAGCTACGCGGGCCACAAGCAAAACTACGAGATCCTCCCGCAGAGCTACCAGGGCGACGAGCCGAACTGCAAGGACGACGAGGGCAACCACCTGAGCTAAAGGAACCACCAAGATGACTGGCCAGACTACAAGAACACGCTGGAGTACCTGAACACGCAGGACTACGACAACCCTGAGAAGATCTTCTGCCCACCTGCTCTGACACAAAGGAGGCTTGGGCCTGCCAGAAGAGCTGGCAGCACAAGGAGAGGAAGCCCGAGAGGAACTTGCAGCGAATTTGCAGCGGCCATAACAAACTCATCAAATGTTTCGGGGAAGTGTGCACGCTCCGCACCATGCGAAAGACTGGAGGTCCGGAGGAAGGCAGGCCTAACGTGCGCGCGGCGGAGCTTTGGGGCTTGAACAAAAAACGGAAAAGGAAGGCTGCGAAAGGTCGGAGGTTCGGGGGTGAGATCGCAGTGGAACGGAGACCCCCAACCGGGAAATCGTTTATTTCGTTTCGTTCGTGTCGTGCGTGCGGGCGAGGCGAAGCTGCGTGGGCGCGCGAGGGGACTGAACCCGCCGCTGCTAGGGCGAAGTCGAGACAAATGATTCTTCCCCTCCCACCCGTCCGGCGGTGGCCCCGCGGTGTCCCGAGGTGTCCGTGGTGTCCGCCGCTGCTAGGGCGAAATCAAAATTCCCCACCGCCCGCCCGTCCGGCGGTGGCTCGCAGTGTCCCGTGGTGTCCCATTGGATGAGATTGATAGTGAGATCGATAGTGAGATCGATACTGAGATTGATGTGGTGCCCCGAGGTGTCCCGTGGTGTCCCAAAAAGTGAGATCGATAGTGAGATCGACAGGTGTCCCGTGGTGTCCCGTGGTGTCCCAGAAAACGAGATCGATAGTGAGATCGATAATGATATCGATAATGTGATCGATGTGGTGTCCAGATGTGTTCCGTGGTGTCCGGTGGTGTCCTATGGTGTCCCGTCGAGTGAGATCGATAGTGAGATCGATAGTGAGATCGATAGTGAGAGCAATAGTGAGATCGAGAGGTGTCCCACGGTGTCCCGTGGTGTCCCGTTGTGGCCCGTGGTGTCCCGTGGTGTCCCGTTGAGTGAGATCGATAGTGAGATCGACAAGTGTCCCGTGGTGTCCCGTTGAGTCGATAGTGAGATCGATTGAGTCAGATGTTGGTTCCCCCCCACAACCTCCTTATCACCCGAAGGGTGGCCGTATAGGTATGCATGCGGCAGGCCATGTGAGGTCGAGGCTGGTCGGACTTGCTCGCAGCCTCTGTATCTCTCGTTTGGCGACGTCCAAGTGCGGAGATGGGTGGGGGACGAGGAAGTACTGCTTGAGGCGGTGTCTCCACACGAGTGGGACGACGGCGCCCGTGGCGCAGGCAGTCGACCGCCTGCACCAGCGCTTGGACGGCGCGGGCCCCTCCGCGCGGCGACGCTGCTCGCGCCTGGCCGCGGCCGACGGAATCTGCCGACGCCTGCGGGGCTCCTCAGTTGCACAGGCCCCAGCCGTACAGTCGGAGCGCATACGAGACTCTTTCGACGGCAACATGGCCTCCAACAACCACAGGACACAAGGGTACCCTCAGTCCGAACACGCAGAGGACATGAGAAGGGATGGAAAGGACACAAGAGGACCCTAGATTTTGCAGGGTCGACCTGCAAATGCGCGCCGAATGTAGAGGCAGCGGAGGCAGCCCCGGCCGCGGAGCGGGGAGGAGGGAGAAAGCGGCGCGAGGGGCGCCGATGGCGCGGGCTCCGAGGGCCCAGCTCGAGCCGGCGCTACAGTGAAAGCGAGCAGGAAAGATGCGCAACTGTCCCAGGCTCCCCCATCCTTGCCCATTCGGCCCATCCTTGGCAGCTCTCGCTGGCCAGCCCCATTCGGAACACGTCAGCGCGGCTTTCCAAGGCCCCTGCAGCCTCACCGCGCATCCCTGGTGTACGGCTTGACTGTACGGTGGGGGAAGCTTGTGGGCCTCTGGAAGGGGCCTCTGGAGTACCCAGCATCGGGCCAACTGGGGCCGACCCCCAGCTTGACCCAGAAAGGCTTGAGCCCTCAAAGGGTAGAGAGCGAGAGAGAGAGAGAGAGACAGCAGAGCAGAGTAGAGCAGATCAAGGGCAGGAGCAGAGAGGGAGCTCGCACACCCCTGGGGGCCGAGGCAGCCTACCGCTTACAGCAAACCACTGGTATGGTGGGGGAGGCTGCCCAAACATGCGACGTCCTGATTTGTTCAGTACGGGGTCCCCGGAAGTCCCGACCCTTTCCCCCGGACCGGTTTTCTATCCTGAGGAGTTCTTTGAAGGTCCCGGGGCCCAGCGATGACCACCAGAGGCGGAAAATAGCAACAAACCTCCCCTCATGCTTTCCATCCTAAATCATTGTTTGACGGTCTTGGGGCCCCAGAAGGGCCCCCAGAGGCCGAACATAGCGACAAACCTCCCGTCGTGTTTTTTCACGACGCGCGCATGTCTGAGTGGTGAGGCTGAGGAGCAGAAGCAAGTGATCGTTTTCTTTTTCGGCGTTTCTATATTGGGCGAAAAGGGGGGAGGGGGGTGGTCTGGCCCCCGACCTCTGCGTAGCGCAACTGTTTGCAGCAGTGCGGCCTATGGGGGAGATGTGGGCAATAATTATATCCACATCCAGTGCGTCTTGGAATTTTGGGCTCTCTTCCGCAGAAACCGGAGGAGCACTGGATCTGGATGAAACTCTGGCACCAAAGCTCGATTGTTATCCATAATTCAGTGTGCCTCGGCCTTGCGGCGCCCGTTCCCGAAACGTCCAAGACGCTCTGGACATGGACAGAGGTATTGCCCGCAGGAGAGGCTCCGCCTGCAACAGCCAAGATCTACTCCAAAGGGGGGGGAGGTGAATTTTGTTTTTTGTTTTCCGGCATTTCGACAGTGGGCGGAAGGGGGGGAGGGGGTGGGGGTCTGGCTCCGGACCTCTGCCTAACTAGTGCGACTCTGTGCAGAAGTGCCCTTCCGGGGAGACTCCACCTGCTGGAAAGAGGCGCCGAAAAACAGCCAAGATCTACTCCACGGGGGGGGGGGAAGGGAGGGCGGGGAGGGGGCCCGCGCCGATCGGCAAAACAATGCCTACAGAGAACGATCACGACGGGGAGGGTTGCGAGGGCCCGCGCCGATCGGCAAAACAACGAATCAGAAAACGGTCACCAGCAGGCCCGCTGCTTTCGGGAGCGGCCAAGAGGGGGGTGTCCAAGAGGGGGGGGTGCAAATCATGACCGGCGGCACGTGCGCGGCCCAGCGGGGGGGGGGCCAGGGGACGTGATGAAATAAGAAGAGGCGCCATGAAATCTGCGGAAATATCATGACCCCCGCCCTGATATCCACCCCCCCCTAGTCATCACCCCCCTCTTTTCCGCTCCCGAGTAGGGGCGCGAAAATGCTTGCGCTGCGCACGCCGCCGGCCGCGGGCCGGAGAGGTGCCGCACTCCGAGGCGGCGGCGCGACGAGGGGAGGAGGAGGAGGAGGAGGAGGAGGAGGAGGAGGAGGAGGAGGAGGAGGAGGAGGAGGAGGAGGAGGAGGAGGAGCCCGCCGAGGCCTGCGACAGCGGCGCCGGGGCGCCCGACGCCGGCGCCTCGGCGGGCGCACCTCGCGCTCCCCCCTGGAGGTCCTCCCCCTGGCTGCTGCAGCTCCCCCACATCGCCGCCTCGCCGACCACAGCCATGCTCCTCCTGTTGCTCCTCCCCTGCCCTTCCCCAGACATGCTCGGATCGTTAAAAAGACCCCGACGGAAGGTTTGTCGCTATCTTTGGCCTCCGGTGGCCCTCGCCGGGCCCCGGGACCGTCAAGGATCTCCTCGGGATGGACAACCGGTCCGGGGGAAAGGGTCGGGACTTCCAGGGACCGCGTGCCGAAACAGTCAGGACGTCGCATGTCAGGGCTTCCCCGTGCAGCACAGATTTGCAAATGGTCCATCCTATGCGTATACACCAGCATGGGCATACGTACACACATCCGCCACCGTGCCCTGGGCTCTGCCGAGCGTGTCCTCAGGCCCTGCGCCCGCCGAGGACCCCACGGGGGAGTCCCCGGTGCCCGAGTGCTGGCTCTCCTGGAGTCCGCCGCGCGACTCTCGGCGGGTGCCGCCCGACCGTTCCTGGGGCCAGGAGACCCCAGGACGGCCAAGAGGGCCCCGAGGCGGCTGAAGACTACATCAGGACGGCCGAGGAACCCCCCCGAACGCTCCAAGGGGGCTCATCGTTTCCATCCATCCTGTGTGGATCTGAGTCCTTGTTTTGAATCGTTAACACCCCGCGCCCTACTCCTCACCTCCTCCTCCTCCTCCTTCTCCTCTCCCTCCCCCTCCCCCTCCCGTCTCCCCCTCCTTGCCCTCGCTTTCTGTACAACTCTGCTTCGGCACACCCCATCACATGTTCTGGGGACCACATGGAGCTCTACATAAGGTCCCAGTAAGTTCGCATGCTGCCGAGCCCATTTCGGCGCACACATCACACGCTTGGTGGCCCCATGGGGAGCTCTACCGAAGGCACAGGCGGCGGGTGTTTGCATGCTGCCGCGCCTGTTTCGGCACATCCCTGAGATGCTTCGTGGCCCCAGAAGGGGCTCCATCGTTTCTCTACCTCACTTCTTCTTGCTGATCTCGTCCTTCCCATTCACATGCCGGTCCTCTTTCTCGCCCATTCTAATGCTCATCATCTGTGTTTCGCTACTCGCAGCTGCATCTGGTTGGGTCCTTTACCATTTGATTTTAACGCCCTCACCTTCTCGGGGTCCTGGCTCTCCTAGACGGCCCAGACGGCCTCCGAGATGGCCCCAAGACGGCCCAAAGCACCCAAGGCGGCCGAAAGAGGCTTAGACGATGGCTCCAAGAGGGCCGCCGAAGCCCCTCCGCGAGGCCCCAGGAGCCCCCTGAAGAGGCCTCCATGGGGCCTCCGAGGGGCATCACAATAGAGGCCTCTGGCAAACATCTCAGGTACTGGTACTGTGGCGGGAAGGATGGGCCGACAGTCACTACATACATACATACATACATACATACATACATACATACATACATACATACATACATACATACATACATACATACATACATACATACATACATACATATATACCTACCTACCTACCTACCTACCTACCTACCTACCATACATACATACATACGTACACACATACATACATACATGCATGCATGCATGCATGCATGCATGCATACATACATACAGAGAGACACACACACATACATGCATGCATGCATGCATGCATGCATGCATGCATGCATACATACATACACACATGCATGCATGCATGCATGCATGCATGCATACATACACACATACATACATACATACATACATACATACATACATACATACATACATTTACATGCATACATACATACATACATATTCATATACATGCATACATACATACATACAAACATACATACATACAATCATACATACACACATACATACAGACATGCATACAGACATACATACACCCATCCATACATACATACATGCATACATAGATACAGACATGCATACAGACATACATACCAACCTACCTACCTACCTACCTACCTACCTACATGCATGCATCCATACATGCATACATACAAACATACAGGCATACATTGCATTGCATTACATATCATTACAGTACACAGTATTACATTGCATTGCAATACATTAAATTACACTACATTGCATTGCGTTACATTGCATACGAACACACATACAAACATATATACATATACATACATACATACATACATACATACATAAATACATACATACATACGTACATACATACATACATACGTACATACATACATACATACATACATACATACATCACATACATCACATACATCACATACATCATATACATTACATACATACATACATACATACATGCATACATGCATACATACATACATACATACATGCATCCATACATACATACACACATACATACATACATGCATGCATCCATACATACATACATACATAAATACATACACACACATACATAAATACATACATACCTACCAACCTACCTACATACACACACCTATATATATATGGTTGAATGAGAGTTTGCGAATGGATATTAATGTACAGTGCCTGGATAATCAATTCATGCAACAACCGTTGTCTCAAGCTATTCTGGATCAACGGAGCTATGCCGGCCTGAGGGGCCAACCGCGCGGTGACCATCCAGGGAAGTTGTTTGATGCCCAAGGCACGCTGATGGCCCCTCCTCGCTCGGAGCCTGGCTCGGCCGACGGCCCCGAGGCTAGCTGGGTGATAAGCCTTCTTCGCTGGGCCGGGCCCACGTGCTGTCGGACTCGTGGGCGTCCTGATTGCTTGTTTGTCGCTCCGCGCAGAGACGGGCCGAGGCAGCGTCGTGCGCCTAGGGATCGGTGGCTTCACGATCTTCCGCGCGCTGCTGTGAAGCCTCATCCGCTGTCTGCAAGCATGGTGGAGTTCCCTGCGAAGCAGCCAGGATGCGGTGGACGCGCTGAGGGCTCAGCTGGGCCGGATGCGTCTGGAAGGAGAGGCCAGTGGCGGAGCAAGGGAGCGCACAGAAGGCACAGCGGCGCCCTCACGTCCGCCTCTCCCCCCGCCGTCGGCCCCTCCGCCTGGATTGGTTGCTCCAGTCGTGCCCAGCGTGCCCGCGGGGGTGGTGGACCAGTCTATGGACGCTTTCCACTCGTTCGGCCTTGGCGCGCAGGATGCTGGAGGAGGAGGAGGAGGAGGAGGAGGAGGAGGAGGGGGAGGAGGAGGAGGAGGAGGAGGAGGAGGAGGAGGAGGAGGAGGGAGGAGGAGGATGAGGAGGGAGGAGAAGGAGGAGGAGGAGGCGGACGGGGGCTGCGCCTAGCGCGGGACCTCCCGTAGCCCCTCAGACTGGCACTCCGCCGGTGGGGGCCGCTGGTGCTGCTGGCCCTGGCGGCCCAGGGCTCCAGGCATCAGAGACCGCCGCCGCCTGCGCCGCACAGCTGACGGAGGTGCTCCTGAAGCTACATGCGGGTGCCGGTACCAGCCCGTGGTGGGGACAGCAGTTCTGGCAGGCGGTGGCGACCACGGAGCAAGCTGGACGTCTCAACCCATCTAGTCGTGCTGCTCTCGCGGCCAGAGGCTATGTCGGCCCTGGCACTCGATCGCCCCCCGACCCGAAGATGCCAGAGACGGTGTTGTCTGGGTTCGAGAGCCTCGGCGTGTCCAGCGGTTTCGACGGAAGCTTTGGCGGCCCAGCGGCCACTCGTGGAGGTGCCGAGGTGGACGCATGGGCCCACGCCCTGCCGCCCGATTTCAAGCGAGCTGGAGTCAAGATCTACAGGAATATCAGGGCGGCGGGCAGTACGAGCGTGCGGCACTGGTTGCAGCAGCAGTTCCAAGGGTATCGGGGGGGAGATCAGTCGCAAGGGCTGTGGTCAGTGGCGTCGACTCTAGATTTCGAGTTGGGGCGATGTGCTAGTGACCAGGAGCTCACGATCTGTCTGACGACGAACGACAATGTGGAGATCTTGCTCGGGTACCTCTCGGCGTATGGCTACGAGTCCAGAACCCACGACAAGGTGGGAGCTGCGAGATTGCGGGCGGTCACGGCCCCAGACAGCGGGCTGGACATCGCGCCGGGCTGGCTCATCACTGAGGCGACCTCCCACAGCGAGATGGAGCATCAGCGAGCTGAACGTGTCTCGGCTGAGCTTCGACGCCGATCCGCGACCACGGGAGACCGAGGTGACAAAGGAGGTGGTCGCGGGCGTGGTCCGAGTGAAAGTTGAGAAGCCGAATGATGCGGAGGTGGTGTACTCACATGATGGGTTTCCCGCTCAGTCGGAAGTGGCCTCCGCCTTACATAGTGGTCAACCAGTGTTGCCCGTCCCTCTCTTACCTCGACCTGACCGAGTGGGGGTTCGTTCAGGGCGGCTACGACAACGACTTAGACGGAAGCAGGAAGTACGAGAGGTGGCCAATCGCATCGTGGGAGCATTGAGTGCGACCTACTCTAGATCTATGAAGCGCCAGACCGCACTAATGCAGCAGAAGTTTCGCAGTGATTTGATGGAGGATTATGCTGTCGGGCAGGTCCAGAGGCGGGCTATCCAGCACGCCAAGGGCCAGCTCCACGTTTGCTGGCTTCACCCAGCGACAGGCGTACGATCGACGTGCGAGCTGCTTAAGATGTACCGTATAGGCCACAGGAGAGTGCACAAAAGGGATGTCCACGTCGAGTTTATCGCTCGCAGGGTGGACGAGGTTACGTCGACGAAGGTAGTTCCCCTGCTTGAAGCTCTCCCTTGCGATGAGGCGCTGTACTACAGCAAGGAGGAGAATGTTCTCGAGCTCGAGGGGAAGACCACCCAGCACGTGGAGGAGCTCGAGAGGCAGTTCGGGTTCTGCGGTGGCCGGATGGAGCAGTGGATCGAGTACCTGCATCGTGAAGACATTCCTCCAGTGTTGTGGGTCTTCAAAGAGAGAAGCGAGGCTAAGGCTATCAATGGAGTTTCGGCGGTGCTGAAGAAGGACGGGTTCAATTTGCGCAGACTCATCATGGCGGTGCCGACCAACCACCCCTGGAGCGATGTGCGTCGGAGAGGCGAGGCGCTTGCGCTC